GTAACTGAACTAAATAATTTATTTTAATATAATGAATGCAAAACTAATAGTTTGATATCTTCAAATTTATATAAAGAAAAAAAAACTAAACATTGAAATTTTGTCTTGATGATTTATGAAGAAGTTAAAATACTGAAGCTATTCTTTTAAAAAAATAATTCATTTGAAAATTATGTTTTAAAAGTTGAAGATGAAACTTCAATGCTTTTAAAAAAAGAGACCAACTATATCTCGAAATAAATATTCATTTTTATCAATTTAACATAATATTGTCTTGCTACTATTTATTTAATATATTCACTACGATATTTTGTATTAGATGAAAAATTTTATTATTAACAATTAATTGATCGATAAAAGTTGAACCATGAATAGTTTTTAATGTATTCATTATTTTACAATAATTTGTAAATAGTCTGTTTTTTTTTTCTATATGGAGTGCGTACTCTACTGTATTTCTTTTTTGATGATAGAAATATATAGATATTGAATGAGTGGATAAAAATAATTAGAGTAGAAAAATAAAATTCTGTGAATTATTTTACTTGTTTTGGGTTTACTGTATGTTTGAAGTATACGAAGAATTTTTTGAAGCTGATAATATAAGTAAGAACAATTATACACTAACGCCGAGTAAGGTTTTTATAAAAAAATAATTTCGGATAATTTACATTTATTCTCAGTAGTCGAAATAGTTTATTCTACCTGATAATCATTCATGGTTAAATATTTGAAATACTAATGAGAAAATAATAAAATATTTTGCAATATTCCAATTAAAATTACTAAAATACTTTTTTATGAAAAAGATTGACGAGTACATATTTGGCATTTGGATCAAGAAAAGTTCGAACAACTTGACAATATAAACAAAATATTTCATGATGAAATTCATCTGAAAATACTGTAATATCTCCTCTTTTACAGAATATAGAGAAACTCAGAAGGATGTATATTCACTAGAACACGTTTAGATAAAATTTGCTTTGTGCTTCAATTTTTTTTCCTATTGTGTATTGAGCAGTATTTGAACACAAACGAGCTCTGTTTGTTGTCAAATTTTCTTAAGTGTTGAGTATTCTTTAGATGATTTCTTTTGGAAAGTGACAATTTCATAATGTATTGAGATGTATTTTCTTAACTTTTTCATCAGCCGTATATTATAATAAGACACGTTCTTCTTATTATCTTTTCAATGTCATTAGCGATACATGCAGTGCTAAGAACTCATTTGATGAAAGTTGATTTTATTGATAACACAAAGAGATTTCTGTTTTTTGTAGCAGAATTCTCTGTCCCCATCCATAAGATCTATTTTGTGAATTCTAGATAAAAACCAACAATGATATTACTATATCTCTTTCAAGAATTGAATACGAAGTCAAACATGTTTTGTAAGATAATTTTTTGTTCAGCTGAAAGTGTCTATTTAAAGCTTTAAAAGTGAAGTTCGTGAAATGAGTTTATGAGAGAAATTAATTTGTCGATAGAGAATCTGTCGAGGAAGGAAAAGTTGATTGCAATCATCAATGATCGTTTAGTCGACCAGTTTACACTAATAACTATAAGCATAATACATGTTGACTATGAAGTGTTGGTATGGATGTGGATATTCTCTATAATCACAAGCAAAGTCTATGTGTTTTTCATGTTTCTGTTATCTTGAAATTTTAATTTTGATAAGTGCAATTTCTCTTTACCAAAGCTCACAGTTGAAAGATATTAAAAATAAAACAAACGACAGAAAAAGAAGATAGATGAGAAAGGTAAAAAGAATGCTTTTTTTCCAAAAAATAAACAACGAATCATTTGATTCACTCTCAGCTAGCATCCATACACATACTTTTCAACAGATTTTATCAAGTCACAATGATAGAAAATTTCAAATTTACATTAATTTAAATTTAGCNTTTCAGATGACTATATTTAAAAACTTTTTTGTCAAGACTCTCGAAAACTCGATTTTTAGGTGAAACGGTTTTCTGGAAAACTCTCTTCACTAAGTTTCTTTAGAAATTCTGGCTCATAATATATTCGATAGAGATTTTCAAGGGCTTTCCAAATCACTATTTAGATTTTACCTAGCTGTTCGTTTTTGTGGAAAAACTTCAAAAATAAAAGGGGGTCTTATAATTTTGGTACACCCTGTACAATATCACAAACAACACTTGAACAGATATTTTTATCATTTGGAAAAAAGAGCAGTGCAACAGCTGAATAAAATCTTATAATCATGTATCGAAGAAAAAAAAAACATGATCTTTTCTTGTCGTGTTTAAATATTTTAAGTGCAATTATTTAATTTTTTTTTCAGTAAATTTGATTCATAATCAGTATATTGCCATGAACCTCTAGTGCTGTATTAGGACTAATTTTAATGAGATCTTCATAATTCGACTTGGCTATATTTAGTTTAATCGAAATATTTGTATGGTAGTCAACGACATCTCTTTAGAATCCTTATTATTGACTCCATGTATGTCTTTTGATTATTTACCCAAAACAAAAAGAATAACAGAGAGAAAAGATATCAAGCCTTTTTTTTGTTATCTTGATGACTGTTATCAAAACTAATGTGATGATATCAAGAGCTAATATAGAATAAATTCAAAAAGCTCTACCTTATAATTCATATATATTGATACTATTTAGATGATGGACTTTACTCGGTTTTTACAATTTTCTGCAGTATTTATAATTGCTACTCTTGCTCTATTTTCGTCCTTCATAACATTTTTTACAGTCATTCTTTTATCATGGTTTTGGTCTTTACCTGTGACTCTTACAATATGTCTTATATATGGTTGTTGGATGTATTTTGACCGTCATACAGATTCTCAAGGAGGTCGATGGTCTAATCGGATTCGTCGATTACCTATATTTACACATTTTGTAAACTATTTTTCTCTTAATTTAATTAAAAGTGAAGATCTTGATACAAATCGAAATTATATATTTGGTTTTCATCCGCATGGATTTTGGTCTTTAAGTGCATTCGGTAATTTTGCTACAGATGCAACATATTTTTCAACTCTTTTTCCGAATATTCGATCACATTTAATGATTCTTCGCCTTCAATTTCTATGTCCATTTACACGTGAACTATGCCTTAGTTTAGGTATATTAATGTTTTATATCTTGTAGATGAAAAAAACGAGTGCTGAATAATATTAGGTCTATGTGATGTATCAAAAGATAGTTGTGAATATTTGTTAAGTGGAAAATCTGGTCAAGGTAATGCACTAGTCATCATCATTGGTGGTGTACGTGAAGCAATAATCACGAGAAATGATACTATGAAATTGTATTTAAAGAATCGAAAAGGTTTCGTTAGACTTGCATTGAAATATGGGTAAGAATAATTCTTGAAAGATAAGATGAATAATAACGAAAATACTTGTTGTGTTTAGTGCTTCATTAGTACCGGTAGTTTCGTTTGAAGAAAATGAGCTTTATCGACGGCATGCTCGTTGTAATTTAATACCCAATGGTATAATTTGGGGTCGACTTCTTGCTGGACATATGCCATTTCGACATCCTGTAGTCACTGTTGGTAAGATATGGATAATGTTCTTATTTATATATAAAGAAAAAGAATCTATTTTTATATAGTTGGTAAACCTATTCATGTTAAACAAAATACTAATCCAACTTCTGAAGATGTTGACAAACTTCATCATGAATACCTTCAAGCCGTTGAAGAACTTTTTGAAGTGAACAAACATAAATATAGATTAGAACATGTAAAACTCGAAATTGTTTAGTTAAAGAAAAGAACATAGGTGGGAACAAATTTCTTTCTTTGAAAGTTCATGGTTACCATTAACTATCTCGCTTTGATTCATATCAACTGTGAAGAAAAAAAGCGTACAATTTATTCACAAGATGTTCTAGATGTCACATTCCTCACTCGCTTTAATGGTGATAAGACGCATTCGCTCTTGTCTATTCTTCGCTGCTATTTTCGTTTTTTCTCTTTTTTTCTCATTTTTGTCACAGAATCTAAGTTTGTAACTTTCGAATCTGACCAAAAATACCCTCTCCCAAGGGACACTCTTCTAAAATATCTGAGCAAAAGAAAACAGTTCACAGGGCTGATGAAAATCAGTGTCCGATTACAACGTCAAATAATACTACATGTAGTACCAATCCTGAAGTATCGGAAGAGCAGCGAATTGCTTATGGCTCGGCTTCAGTAATATGTCAACCGTACAATCTGCCCCAATCTTATGTGTGTATTCAACCTACACCAAATAGTCAAATCGTCAATCAATATCCACCAAATAATATGGTGACTCAACATCAACTATATCAGCAACCAGTACCATCAACTATTAACGTTCCATCTGAGTATGTACAACAAGCGATGTTCCATTCCAACATGAATTCACAACCAGCGTTAGTTTCATCATATCATCCTCCTGTTAATACTAATGGTTTGTTTACATCATCAATGACTAATCCTATTGTTTCTTCAACACTAATATCTGCTACTACCAAGAGAAGTCGCTATGACATCAGTGGTGTTTCGGATTTGAATGCGCAAGAACGACCTCAATATTATCAGACAACTCATATTTTCAATGCTTGTAATACACCAAACAAGCGGGATTGTGGAATCAATCAGCAGCAAAAAGAAAGCTTGTATCCCTATCGTTACGAACACAATCGTGAAGAACAATTAAATTACAATATCATGAAAGGAGGAAACATCGCAGAATCAACATATGACCAACAACAACCCTCGATGGCCGCTTGTCGATATGCTACATCTCGCTTCCCGTTCGCACCGTTTTCGGTAATCTTCTTGCATCAAGTTAGAGAAAAAAAGTCGTCATCGATGATCTAATGAAACATGCAAAGGAAAATTTTCATTTTGAGTTAAAACGATAGCCTATCGGGGAGAACGTTCAGAAAATAACGAATGTCGTATTTTGGTTTTCGTTGAGAACAGTGAATTGTTTTCGTTCTTATATGAACGTGGAAACTGGCCTAAAACATTAGCTGAATATGAATTTACAACAAAACGTCCATCAATTCCGCCTCAACTGTCGTTCGTGCTGCCGGCTGTCTCATTACAAATTGATTGGAAGAATTTTGTACACGAATTAAAAGAAAAATACCATGGCATAGCAGATGTCATACGCTTAAAAAATAAAGCACAACAGCCAGTGCGTGCAGTTAACTGGAATTTCTATTGGCTGAATTACGCAACGAAATACTAGAAGCTAATGAAATCACGGCCATGCACTTAAAACTAAAAGTAGTCGATTTTTTTTTACACAAGCCAATGTATTGATCTGCTCCAGCTGTTACGGAATAGGGCACTTCGGAAAAATTGTAGACAGAAGAATGAATCAACGTGCAACACATGCAGTGAAAAATATCCAAATCGGAACGATCACCAATGTTCTGGTATTCCAAAATGCATTCATTGTACAGGACCACGTATTTCAAACGATTCGAAATGCAAAGTGATAAAAGACTATCGTGTAGCACTTCTCATAATCTCTTAGCTAAACAGATTCCAGCCAATGGTGAATATACAAAGCTACAACCAACTACAAACATTACCTCGGATGGTGATTCGTCATCTTGTGGTTCTTATGCCTCGGTAGTTAAAGGGATGCCATCATATTCAAATGATGTCTTATTAAAGAAACTTGATAATATTTTAGTCAAAGTGGAAGAAGAGTCTAGTGCAACGCATCTGTCGCTTGAAGAATTAAAAGAAGAAATGAAAGATCGTTACAAACAAACAAAACAGCAAGTAGAAGTGCTGGACAATCAAGTGAAAACAATGGAAAAGAATTTCGAAGATTTAACCATACGAGTCCGCGGAATATTGCAAAACATTTGTACATCAATATTGAATCCACAAGTTATACAAAGATCGCATTGGAAATCGTATTGGCAAGAACAAATCAAACTACTAGAAGAATTTAGATCGTCCCGTTCTAAATCTAAACAATAATAGAGGCAATCGAGAGCAAATTTAACCATGATACTCGAGCAATCAGTTCATAGATTATGTTCGCAATACGCTTTCATCGAAGGATTCGGAGTTGTTTTCAGAAATTCTTACTGATTGGCATGCCTCTTCTTCATTAAATGATCTGCTGTCCAACTGGAAAACTTACCAAAAATTGCATGTTAATCAAACATATTCATATATACATTCACTTTGCTTTAACGTTCGTGGTATGCGTCTACGTTGGGAGGAAGCTTACTTGCTGATGAGAAAATCGGGTGTGGGTGTGGGAGCGGGGTAGGTATCACCTACCCCACTCCC